CAGGAGACGCATTGGGATTTCAGTGGGGACTGGTCCACTCCGGAGTGGCATTTCTGCCACACGACGTCGCATCGCAAGGGGAGCGGAGGTGTGCTCATTGGGGTTCGTAAGGTGCTAGCCAGCGCGCAACAGATTCGTTGGCATGAGGCTGAACAGGGACGAATCCTGCACGTACGTTGCTTTTTAGAGCAGCAGCAGGTGGATATCATTGGGGTTTATCAGTTTGCCTTTTTGCAGAAGGCGGGAATGACGGATGCCATTTTGGATCAGCGGCGTCGGCTGCTGGGCAAGCTCGACAGGCTGCTGGCGTCCCTCCCAGTGCGCTCACAATTGATTGTTGGGGGAGACTTTAACGCCACTCTTGTCCCCACAAGCAGAATTGCGGGGTATGGGCTGCTGCAGCGTGCGCTGTCCGACAAGGAGAAAGCGGACCAGGACTTGCTGCTTCGCCTACTGCAGAAATACAAACTCTCTGCATTGAACACCTGGGGTAAGAAGAGCGGTGCTGCAACGTATCTGCATGCCAAGGGGCGAAGCCAGATTGACTTTGTCTATGCGAGGCAGGCTGTTTCCGACGGGGAGGCTAAGCAAACAAGGCCAGAGTTCACTGTAATGGCTGGATGGCGTTCCACGGGTCACCTTCCCCTGGTGGGTTCGATCCCGCATCGATGGACACCGTGGGCCAAGCCAAGACGGGAGCGACAGGCGCCAGTCCCGGAGGGGCCTGGACTTGAGGTCCTGGCGCAGCAGAACACCAATGAGGAGCCATGCAGCATACAGGAGCTCCGGGGAGCGGTGCTGCGAGCAGAGTGCGAGGCTCCAGAACCAATGACTCGACCAGGGTTGGAGCCGGTGGATGAGCTGGTCAAGGGATGCTGGAAACTGCGGCGCAAACGACAGATTGCGCAGACGTTGCTTGGTGCCGGTTTCATCTTTGTTTTCAGATACTTTCGGATTCAGCTTGCTTACATGAGGGCGCATAGAGGTCTTAAGAAAGCCCTTCGAGCCAGAAAACGTCGACGAACCCTGGAGTTGCTTCAAAGAGCTGAGATGGCTGCGAGCAGGCACGATATGCGAGGGTTGTTTGGTGTGATCAACTTACTGTGTCCTAGAAAAGGGGTGCAGCGTATTCGGCTCCGGGATGAGGAGGGCAACCTGATGAGTGGACCAGAGGAGTGTAGAGTGCTTGCGGCCTATGCGCGGGATTTGTTCATGGCGCCAGAGGGGGTGAAGCTTCCGCTACTGCGGATACCGGAGCAGGTGCTGAAGATTGAGGCGTGGCAGAAGGCGGCAGTGAAGCTGAAAGCGGTGAAGGCAGCCCCTCATGATACCCCGCCCCTTCGACAGTGGAAGCAACACTGTCAGCTGATTGTTCCTTTGCTGCGTAAACAGGCGGTTCATCATCTGTGTCGTGACTC